CCAGCCAGTCAGTCAGTCAGTCAGTCAGTCAGCCAGTCAGCCAGTCAGCCAGTCAGTCAGTCAGTCAGTCAGTCAGTCAGTCAGTCCGTAAGTCACATTCAACCATTCTAAATCGAGAATACCTTTCTTTTGAATTCCAATTTCCACTGCCACGTAAAATAGATTATGATCCTTGGAAAGCGCATCAGACCGTTCTAGAAGCAGACTGATAAGGTCCTTACTGAAAGAAAATATGAAATAATACAGAATCAGTCAGAATGAAACCTCGTTTTAATAACAATGCTAAATAGAGTACTTGATCATAATAAATAGCGACGTGGAAGAAATAAAGCATACCTTGTTGTCTGGTTTGTTATTTCAATACTTGTGTATTCTGTTTCAGGGTTTAAGATCGTTGTCTGCACTAGAACTTTGCCCTAAACGTAGACACAAAATCCTTGTAAATATAACACAACAGAGACCAACTGAAAGCAGTGTATACTTAAACGTTCAATTCTAAGTTGGACGTATTACTTCTCCTTACTTAGACTGCATTACATTTCTTTTAATGATCTTTGTGAGAATTTGAGGGTAAATCACACGGACATCCCTTCCCGAGCATTCAGTGTCAAAGTGTATTCTATAACGAAAAACCGGAAATGCTGAACACTCGATGGATAGACGGTGCAATCGTTTTAAAAGTGAGACACAGTATTCAGAAAAATTCTAATATCTTTCAAATCCAATCATGCAATGATTGTCACAGTGGAATATAAGGAAAATTGAACAACTTTTTGTCTTGAGGTATGTAGGGAACGTTGAGCGAGTATTGCCCACGTCTCAACACTTAACCTTTAAATTGAAGAAAACCTGAGAATAATAGTTTACTAAGATAGAAAAATACAAAAGGGGTAATAATAAATCATAAAGAAACAAGGATGGTTAGGATGGAGAAAACTGACACGGGTTACAAACGACGAACTTGAAAAATTTAGACTAAACGTTTCAAGATGCGCAAACGTGACGTCGCTCCTTAAAGCTTAGATAAGAGAGCAACTTGCTGGACGATAAACCCATTAAATTCGGCGTCCTTCTCTTGTTTTCTGGAAAATTTTTTTCGAGAAAACGTTTGTTAATATTAAGGTATACAAAACATATTCGCAGCCAACTAGACAACTCCCCTGGTTAACGTTATTTGAATGAGCCTAAAGCTAGTTGGTTTTACACAAGTTACAATATACTTTCGTACAGTATTTTCACCTTTTCTATTTCCGACATCATTTCCTCAGCCTGCTCTTGAAGAACTTCTTGTGGAGTTTTTCGATCCACAACATCCAGGCTATTCAAGGACTGAGAATTTGCTAGACGCAGAATAAATTGACAAAAGTTAGAAATTTAAATTTGCTACCGGCATTGTTTAGTCAAGATTACAAAAGTAAGTTACCGCTCTCTGTAGAGTCTGGTAAGATTCCTTTTACCAGCACTTGCATACTAGCGGGCCTGGCAGGAAGGGACCTTCTGTTTGGTCGTTGACGGGCCCCCCTGTCATTTGTGCCAGGGACACCCGGGCGAAACTGCCTCTCATCCGGTACTGGTCCACCGAACAACTTCAGTTCATGAACAGCGGCAAGAAGTTTGTCACGTGACGTTGGGTTTGAGACACCGAGGTGATCTGAAACCAGACGAGGTACTAATTAGGTCATAGAGATTTCTCGGTTATGGACTGGAACTAGCTATAGCTTGCATGCAATTGAGGTTAATGCGAGGAGTCTTCACAAATGCAAATGACATTAATCTTTTTTTAATGATATTTTCCCACATGAGCCTCCCTTGCAAGGTAGGTGCAGTCTAATAGGCTGATTTAGCAAGAGAACGGGAACGTCACTTGACGACAGCGCGCGCAGTACAAATACCCAAATATGGTCAGATGACGACTGCAGGGCGCGCGGAATAACATGGGGTACTTACCATTTACATGGGAAAACCGGAAATTCCAGTTGGAAAATCAAATGGTTTGCGCCATTCCGTTTGGGAAGCTTCTGAAAATATGGACTGTGATTTGTGGTGATGCTATTTTTCTGCTCTTTTAAGTCTCTCGAACTGATGTGGATATACTTTATAGAGATTCCTTCTCTCGCAACGTGGCATTCAACTGTTTAATGTTTTTGCCTGAAATTTCCAACCGGATGGTTTCTGTAAATGGTAAGCACCCCTGGATTCTGTTCTGATTTGACCATATTTGGGTACTTGTACTGCCCGCGCCGTCGTCAAGTGACGTTCCCGTTCTCTTGCTAAATCAGCCTAATACCGAGAATACGAAGGTTTAGAGATGACAAGAAATGTTTGCTCACGTTTTCGTAAATTGCTAAGTGCTATAGTTTGTGCTAAGGCTACTAAAATGCCCAAAGAGTTCTCAAAAGCATAAAGACATCTACAGCTTGGTGAAAACACGGTTACGTTACACACATATCTTTATACTTCAACTGTAAGGCAAGTTCAGGGAGCAAGAATTTTTCCTGTTGCATTTACCCCAAGGAAAACACCCATCTAACCCGTCGGAAACTCAGATACAAATCGATGTCTCAAGTAAGAATCATTTCATGGTAATAAGTTATTGTCGATTCGCGGATGAACCTACCGCAAGAGGTAACATAATGTGCAAAACTCCCTGAGTGATACAAAAATCCGATTCAGTTTCAACTTCATACAAGTAAAATTTTTCGCAGTCAACGAACACTAGCGACACAACTTTTCCCCCGGGGGATGAGGGGAGGGGAGGGGAAGAGCACAGCCTTGATGGAATACCAACGTTGACCTGTACGTAGGATAATGGCGTCACATATCTGATCTGTGCGATATTAATGCTCTTATGAAAAAGATACCGTAAATTTGTAAATAAAGACTCCTTCGCAAATTGACAGAAACTGCTGACGCGATGTCTACACAGTATCCGGAGTTTGTTCTTAAGTCACAGTTAAACCTCTGTCCTCCGTTATTTCAAAATTAGAACTTCAAACATAACTTCGTGGAGCCTATATATGCACTGAAACGTTTGAAAGATGTTAACAGCGGTTGTAATGGTTGTGTTTTACGTAACTTTATTTTAAAACGTTCGTTTTCCTTTGTGGACTTTTACATTACCTCTGAAAAGTCGTTTTAATCCGCGCTTACTTTGCTCATGGATAGTAGAAGCAGTCTCTTTACTATCCATGCTTTGCTCATTTCAATTGAATTCGACTCTAAAACAGTCCCTATAAAAAGCTCTATTCTACAACAAAACAATAAACCTGAATAAAAATGGCTCGAGGTTTAGTAGGACATGGATATTCAGTATACTCTTCGTAGAGAGAGGAGGCACTCTTAAAATGCTTTTTTTCTGAGACACAACTCGATACAACGACGCTCCGTCCTCAAATCACTCAGTAAGTCGATGAAATTTCCCATGTCTTTGTGACATGATTGCACAACTGAGATTTCCGAGTTGGAAAGAATTACAACAAACAATTCCCCCATTTACTGTCTAAAACCATTACCTCGCTTGTACATACTATTTGCGCACGGCAAAATCGCAGTTAACACAATCAAAGGAATCGCGCGCATTGTATTCAGTGATCATTTGAAATCATATATCCTTCGGTCTAGTTGCGACTAGACCGGCAAGTAAACTAAACTTACCATTCGTGAAAGCAAATTATATATCATTGCAAGATGAATTACTATACCCAGTGACATTTTATGGCAAAAATAACTAATGGTTAGTATACACAACGGACAAGTAGAAACAAAAACAGTGAAAGATATGGTTTTGTCATAGCGAACAAAATACATCTTGAAATTGAAGCGGAAATCACTTAATTGCGTTTTCAAAAATAACCGTAAAATCTTGAGACTTAGCAATATTTTAAACCCAGAAGTTCCTACCTTTCGTTATTCCACAGTCAGAGAAGAAAACACTCATAGTTTTAACGAGAACAGATCGTGTTAAACAGGTGACGAATCCGCAGACCCTTTCGCTGCTAAAATAGTACAAATATTTGTAATCGATCCGCCGGTCGAGATTGCACTCAAGAGGCTTGTTAATCTTTCTTCGAGATATTTGATTCCAAAGGAATGTGACGAGACCACCGTTCGTATCAGGGTAAGAATTACACTGTAAGCGACTTAAAAAGGTCGCAATTTCGTCTGGGTTTAAACTTTTTGAAATTCGGGTTGTTTTCAGAGCACCCTTTTAATACCACACCAGACACACTAATGGCTTCCGTCCAACGCGCCAAATATTTAGATAGACTGGAAGAAGCACCTTTCATAAATCGTTTAGCGGCCCCTTTGGCGACTAACAGGTTAATCCAAATGCTCAACTAACAATGGAAAATGCTGTCACGTTTCTCAGATGTGTTTGTTCAGTTTAAGATTGTGCTCAACTCACTTCCTTTCTTTAAGACAACGTACTGTGCTTGTATTGTTTCAACTGGGTTCTTGTTTCTAACTCACATGCAACAATGAGGTGTGTGCATGTAGAAGTTAGTAAGTCACGAGATCACGCTATCGTCTGAGGCCGGATTAAGGATTAGTGGTTAAATGAGTGAAGGAGCGGTACTGACCTTTTCACTAACAATTTCCTTACGTACTTCGCGGCATTTTAAGAGACCGAAGCACGAATAATGAAGTTGAATAATGGCATATAATGACGAAAACAATGACGTTTTTGCGTTGGGGAAAGGGAATTAATTGGGTTCTTTAAATGAAAATTTCTGAGATAAGGAATACAGTTATATTGGTATAAAGATAGTATTTCTCTTTACATCCTGACTAGGTAGGTTTGAACTGCGTTTAATATAGGGAATCCAAATTTAATTGGACATCAATGAATAATTTACAGCTTATTTGAGTGCCGACTGTTAAGAAAGAATATGATAAAAAAAATAGTTACACTAAAGGATTTAAGAGCGGCAGCTTAGTTTAATCAAGTTTTCGCCTAAAGGCAAACACAAAAATATAATTGTGGTAAAACAAAATTGATCAAAACTTGTATAAACTCTCAACAAAAGCTATTACAAGGCTTTTCAAGTGCAGAAGAGAGCAAATCAGTGTGAAAAAACATGGATTTGAGCGGAATTTAGAACCAAAACCTGAGTAAGCACATCTGGCCAATCACAACAAGCGTAAATAGCGCCAGTCACCAATCTGCGCTCAGAGCTCAAACATGCAACCGGCGCCAACCGCGGGAAAATGCAAGTCACGTATTTCTTTTGATTTTGCGCGTGATTTGTTGAACAATGAGCTTGCTTCCTCTGATTGGTTGAGGCACGTACTATTAATTCTGAACCATTTACAAAGCGATTGAACAAATTTCTGTGTAGCTTTAAATCCTTCAGTTTCACCGCAAGAAAAAGAACATTTTGAAGCCATGCGGGAAACCGTTGTTCGGTTTTTGTGAAAAAAAGGTCTACGTGTTTTAATTCTGCCTTGCGTGAGTCACTTGGGTAACGTGATCAAGTTCTGTACGTTTGTTTGCATTTATGATGCGTAGTTTCCTTGTATAATTTTCTATCCAAATATTTTCAAACTGAACTTACGTGACCCCAAAGCTGACAATGTAAATAAACAAAACACCACACGCAAAATGTTTTTGAGATTAATTGAAAAAGTACTCAATATCGCATAAGAAAGCTTTATAAAGAGAAAGCAGGTCGTTTAAATGAACATTTACCATGTGAAAACGTTATATGTATCTTAAGTACGATGCTACATTCATTGATACGCTTCGCGTGACTTGGCACGCTGTTCGTATTGCAAAAAAGTGACTTCTAAAGATGTTCTTCCAAAATTAGACGAAATTGATAGTCGTTAAAGTTATTCACAGCAGTGTTTGCGTGATCGACAAATAACATCTACTGACTTTGTATCGCGTGAAAATCATTCAAGTAAACAAAATACTAATCCACGTATTTGTGAAAGAGCACGATCTAAAAATATTCGTCCAAAATAAGACGAAATTGACAGTTGTTTTATTTACATCAGTATTAGCGTGATCGACAAATAACATATACTGTCTTTGTATCGCGTGAAAATCAGTCAAGTAAACAAAATATTAAACCACGTTCGGTATTTGTGAAAGAACACAAATTGCGGTATGAATAATTAACGAGACTTCCCAACGATAATTTAATAGCCAGTATGAGGTCATTAACAGCGATTGACAACGAACAATATTGAACGGATATAGACCTGTTGAAGTTTTGAAACTTCAGTACCAAAACCATCTGCTGTTAAAATGGGCAGTGATGTTTTAGAATTAAAATAGAATTAAGTTGAATAAGATGGATCATCTATTTAAGTGAATAGTTGTGCCAAACTTTTCATTGTAAGAGATACTCACCAATATATTGGCTTGTGATTTGAAGTAAACCTTTACCGTCAACTTTTTTACCTTCGAGAAGAAGTAGAAAAAGAAATAGTTCAATATTTCAACGCTGTTGAAATATTTTGCTTAGGTTGTTTGTTCGAAGTTTACTGAGGCGAGGCGAGCGCACGAAATAGCATAACTGAATCCCTGCCTACCATGAAAATTTCGCCAAAGTTTCCCTAGACCTTTCTGCTTTAGCCATCGCCAAACTTCTCTCTCGTTCCACAAGTTAACCGGGTGCCTCTGTAGGCCTTTCTGCGAGAACATCTCTTCTAGAGCTCGCTCGTTTAGGTCTCGACTCGGCAACCCTTGAAGCTTGTTCCACAAGACCTAGTGTACTTTGCTCAAGCCACTAGTCACGGGTTTCTTTTATACAGTAGCGTGTCTCGGCTCATGCAAAAGAATTTCCCGGCTGTTCTTTTCACGAGATCGGTAACTTTGTTCAATGCGTTATCAAAAGGCTAATCACTTCTAATCCACCAATGTTATTTGACTCAATAAAAAATTCACAATCCGAATTCTGAATAGCGCGTTAATCGACTTGGCAGGTTTGAACAAAAGAACAAAAGCTTTTGTTAATTACTAAAGAGAATACATCCGTGTATTTGTTGATCTATCGTGTTTGTGATTGCCTCGGGTAAACTAAATGTGGACCGCATATTAAGATAGTGTGCTTTGTTGTTTTACAATGCGGTCGGGTCAAGTGAACCATAACGTTTTTTAAGACGCTAGAAGTCACGGTTTTTTTAAAGATTTTTTCAAAGGAATTTGGTTCTTTTAAAACGCTTTTCTTGTTATCCGGGCTCTCTTTAACAGTATACAAACAAATGATAGTGAGTTTTCTCGTCTCGTCTATGTATCTTTTTATTCAGGCTCTTAACCTTCGCCCTCAAGACTTTGACGTCACGCGATGACGTCACTCTAGTCACCCGTATCAGGCAATAAGTTCCTTATCTACCCTAATCAAGATTTCAATTAACAACAAATCGAGAACAACTCGAGATAACATGATAACTTCTAAGGCAATGTCACCGATGGGCCAGCTGTACAACGTAGCAAGCACCCATGGAAACAGTAATATGTTCTTTCAATTAAAATTCTTCACATTTTCCAGATTATCCGCATTGAGACTGAGAACATTGAAAAACAATCTTCTTTGCTTATGATACTGTTGTCATTGGATAAACTCAAGAGAGGGAAATAATTCGAAATAGAGAAAGTAATGAAATAATGAAGTAAAATTTAACAATCTTCGAGTTTTCCGTTTATATGTATGTATCACATAATTACTTCGCCATCTCCAACTCATTAGCGTTATCGAACGTTTAGGGCAGTTTA